CAGAGGTCAGTGGTTCGAATCCCGTACAGGCCTGATTTTTTTCAGGTCTGATTTTCGCTATTGCTTAAATAGCGCTATCTACTGCGAGGATCGTGCATCATATGTATCTAATACCGCAGTACAAAATATATGAACTTCATATATTTCATTGTATCTCATTTATCACTTTCACGGGTTTATTACGAATCAACTTAACGGCCTGCTCCCAGTTGGCTTGTTAGCTCAATTGGTAGAGCGCTGCACTAGTATCGCAGAGGTCAGTGGTTCGAATCCCGTACAGGCCTGATTTTTTTCAGGTCTGATTTTCGCTATTGCTTAAATAGCGCTATCTACTGCGAGGATCGTGCATCATATGTATCTAATACCGCAGTACAAAATATATGAACTTCATATATTTCATTGTATCTCATTTATCACTTTCACGGGTTTATTACGAATCAACTTAACGGCCTGCTCCCAGTTGGCTTGTTAGCTCAATTGGTAGAGCGCTGCACTAGTATCACAGAGGTCAGTGGTTCGAATCCCGTACAGGCCTGATTTTTTTCAGGTCTGATTTTCGCTATTGCTTAAATAGCGCTATCTACTGCGAGGATCGTGCATCATATGTATCTAATACCGCAGTACAAAATATATGAACTTCATATATTTCATTGTATCTCATTTATCACTTTCACGGGTTTATTACGAATCAACTTAACGGCCTGCTCCCAGTTGGCTTGTTAGCTCAATTGGTAGAGCACTGCACTAGTATCGCAGAGGTCAGTGGTTCGAATACCGTACAGGCCTGATTTTTTTCAGGTCTGATTTTCGCTATTGCTTAAATAGCGCTAGCTAGTGCGAGGATCGTGCATCATATGTATTAGATATTGTTATAGTTAACAGTCCTGTCATGCAGATAGGTTACGAATTTTCGCCCTATCTTGCTTAGCTCACAAGCATCCAAACGTTTATACATAATAATAATAATAATAATAATGATAATAATAATAATAATAAACTGCTGCATACTAATAATAAATGTTATTTAACCAGGGTGACCTCTTCAGCATAAAATGCTGATATCAATAAGGGCACTGCAACAACAACAAAAACAAAAACAAACAAAATTAAAAATAAACAAACAAAACAAAAGAAGCTAAAAACAGTCACCAACTTTAAAAGTAATTAAAAGCTTGTGATCTATAAAATTCAAAATTACGAGTTTTAAAAATCATGACTGAGTTAAGATTCTTCAGTTCATTAGGAATATCATGAAAAAGTTTCGATCCATTAAAATAAAAAGACATCCTTGCAATCTCAGTTCTCACCTTGGGAAGCATTAAGTTCTTCCCACTTCCCCTCGTGTTGTGGATAGTTTTAAAAACCTTAAAATAATCTTGAAAAAACATTGGAGGGGATCCCTTTAAGCTTTTAAAAGTTAAATTAATAGTATGCATATCACGCCTCATAGACAAGGGAAGCCACTTTAAATTCTTCTCGGCGTCTGAATCTTTAGTCTTCAAGACGATCTTTGCCGCCCTTCTCTGTGCACGATCTAACCTATCACGTTCTATTTTCCCAATGCTGCTCCATGCAACATCGCAATAATCCATAACTGGAAAAACAAGAGACTGATAAACCTCGTTGGCTGGGTCAACAGTTAGATTGTTCCTAATTCCTCCGAGGACATCGATTCTTTTAAAAACCTTGACCAGTAGCTTATCCATATGTTATTTAAAATTAAGATTTGCATCTATCATCACACCAAGGTATTTGTAATGTTGAGCTTAAGTTATCGGATTCTCACCGAGGAATAAGCTAGGTGGCCCGTTTTTAAACGAAAACTGTGCCTTGAAAAACGTGGGAAATTTCCCTGAACTCTTAAAAACAATATCTTTCAGGGAGGCATCTCTCATCTAACCATAAGGTACTTGCTCTTTTTACACTGGCTCGACCGGTGCGTACTCCACGATGCATGTACGCGACGCCCTGAATGCTTACCAATGGAACATGTTTCTCTCGTCAGGGTTTTATCTGCCCAAATTGTATGGAGGCATGGAAAAACGAGGAAGAGCTGCTCCAGCATTGGCAGTCATTACATGGCAGCCTTTCCGAGGTTTGGTGATTTGCTTATTTGTATGTATAATGTATGTGTCAATTAATGTTATTATATGTATTAATGGTTGGTCCTATGGGACCTTGCTATTTATAATGCCTTTAGATAAATGAACACGTATGAAATTAGTTGAAGACTTGAATCCTGTGCTGGATAAACTTTATTACAATTTTTGTCCCATGACTTAATTAATCATCTTTCTTTTTGATGGACAATCGAGGACTTTGCATAACATAACATGATATTCAAAAGCATCACCCATAACATCATTGATCTCCTAGTTTTTAATAAGTACATGTCAATTTCTCCTCATTTGACCTCGATATTATTCAGGGAGACTCCAAGGAATGAAACGGCTCGTTGACAGTTCAAGTTCACAAGGTTGCCATTGAAATCTAACAAGAACAAGGAAAGGAGAGATGGATGCATCGCAAGAGTAAGCTATCCTCAGCGAATAAGGAGCAATTCACAGATGAAAGCCCTTGCTAACTACACATCGGTGATACCACTATGCAGACTTACTCGTGAAACCAGGATCTGTTAAATTCTCTCATTAGTTCGTTAACAATATTCCCTTTTTATTTTCTGATCATTTTTTTCTCTGGCTTGATTCACTTTTGAACTGTCAATACCAATATCAACAAACATGAAAGACCTTTATTTTGGGATTTTCAATGGTTATCGGCCGCGACGGGAAAAAACGACCACTTTTTCAACAATCATTTCTGCTGTAGCGATGATGACGATGCATTGATGTTGTTCTAAGCCGTGGTAATATAAACGGTTCGTACATTTTCCATCGTTGCGGCTGATGTAGATTACCTCAAACAAATGCAATTAAATGCAGCAAGGAAATCTGGCAAAACATGTAACCCAAGTACAATTAGTTCGCTTCCGTTCGTTTATTTAAGCAAAGGCGAACATTTTTTTGTTTGCAAGTGTTTTGAAAAACAGCGGAAAACGCCGCAAACGGAATTTTTACCCCCTTTAGGAATTCCAGGTTAGTTCATATTCTTCATTAGTAAAAGATTCTCAGTCAAAGGAAGTATCCTGGAGTTCAAGTACACTGGTCCTTTCCTATGATGTGTGACCGTAGACAGTTTCCAACAACTATACCGTTCCACAGAGAGTTAAAAAAACCGTTCCTATTTCTATGAAATATACTCAGACACGGGTATTTTGTGGTCTGTTGTCACTGTTGTCTGAACAATTTTAATTTTATAGTCTCCTTTGCAGGCGTTACTTGGTCTCGTCACGCAACGCGCTCTCTCTCTCTCTCTCTCTCTCTTCCGCCCTCTTTATTGGCGCTTCGACACGAACGTTTTTAATTTGGCCACGGAAAGGAAACCAAAACTTTATTTTATCTCCTAGAGATCTTAATCAAAGTTATTTCGCGGTCTCCGCATTTCGAATAGGAAGAAGCTTCAACTTCTAAATGGTAGAAAAATTCCCTGCTGACTTTTGCAACCCCGACAGATTCTAGCGACTAGGTACGCGCGGAGGAAATGGGTGAGTTCACACACAGGCCCCCCAAGCTCACTACTAGAAAAGCGGACGTGACTCTTACAGTGTTGCGCAACGTTTTATATTTATAAAGGTTTGTATGGGATGTTATCGGTTTGCCTTAAAAGAGAGAAAAAAATGTCTTGTTTTGAAGAAAAGACAACTTTTAAAGAAAGAATTTTTTCTCTCTTTTAAGGCAAACAGATAACATCCCATACAAACCTTTATAAATATAAAACGTTGCGCAACACTGTAAGAGTCACGTCCGCTTTTCTGGTAGTGAGCTTGGGCTGCCTGTGGTTGTTGCCGGTTGAACGCGTCTGGTACAAAAGAGAATGAAGTCCCTCTTTTCGCTCGATTCGCTCGCGTGAAGGTAGGTAATTTAGGGTAGTCCATTTAGGTAGTCCATATGGGTAGTCCATATGGGTAGTCCAAATAAGGTAGTCCATCGAGGGTAGTCCATGGACTGGGGGTCAGCGAAATGTACCCACCCGTGTACAAAAGACATTTCATGTGCTTTGTATTGCTGTCAGGTATCGCATCCTGAAAATTTGCGCTAAGAGCGGTATGATGATGGAAATAAAGAAATCACACTGGTGAAAACCCTTGCCGGAGTGTCTCTATTGACAGCATTCCGGAAACGAAGGTTGCAGTTTAACTACACGGACTGATGAGAGTGAAATTTTTGTCTACAAGCACGAGCGACTTGTCTGTAATTGCAAAACTCGTTTAAAAACACCGCACGTGCCTTCACAGTTTGTGTTATAGGCCTATACAAAATTTCCATACAGGGTGTTCAAATCAAAGGGTAAGTGTAAAGGATATATTGCTGGCTTAAAGCTATGGGACTGAATTTATAGTGTTCTGAGGTCTAGATTTTCCCGCGAATCGATCAATAGCGTAAAATACCTTGTATGATTGTCCTGTATTCGTGTTAACATCGATTGTGACTACTAGCTTTTATTTTATCCCACTCATGTTTATTATTTTCCACGTATTATTTCAAGATCAAAGCTCCACGTGAAACACCGCTTGTTATTCAAAGTGAAGACGACAACACGTATTACCCGCAAACACTTTAGAAGATGTCAAAGGACAGCAGTTCGGCAGAGTAAGTTACTGTTTTCTTGCCTTATTGTTACTGTTTTGTAAAGAGTTGTTGGACTGAGAATCAATACATGCCTATTTAAAAATCGGAGAGAAGCAGGATATTGCTTTCCTCGATCTATACTGGAGAGAAACGAAATTATCCCGATTCCGCGCACAGGCAGCCCAAGCTCACTACTAGAAAAGCGGACGTGACTCTTACCGTGTTTCGCAACGTTTTATATTTATAAAGGTTTGTATGGGATGTTATCGGTTTGCCTTAAAAAAGAGAGAAAAAATGTCTTGTTTTGAAATAAAATGGGCTTACCTTATTGCCTTGTTGTTTTCTTTGTTGATTCCGAGCGTCTTAGGCCATTTTGAAGCGTTTTCGGCGAGTTAGCGCTATGTTGGTGTTCAACTGCCAGAAGAAAGACTGTTTTAGGGCTTTTTTAGCAGTTAAACACCAACATAGCGCTAACTCGCCGAAAACGCTTCAAAATGGTCCGAGGCGCTAGGAATCAACAAAGAAAACAACAAGGCAATAAGGTAAGCCCATTTTATTTCAAATCAAGACATTTTTTTTCTCTCTTTTAAGGCAAACCGTTAACATCCCATACAAACCTTTATAAATATAAAACGTTGCGCAACACGGTAAGAGTCACGTCCGCTTTTCTAGTAGTGAGCTTGGGCTGCCTGTGTTCCGCGATGTCACACCTCTCTCGTCCCTATTGTTATTAGTGCGCGTTATTTGGTTGAACCTTTTATAATTGGTTTCCTTGTAACCCAAGATAGGGAAATCAATGGAGAACCAACAGTAACATCCAGGCTGGCGGAGGAGCTTTCATTCTTGCGACGCTCTGGGTGGAAGGACCACATCGTTACAAAGAATTTGTGCTGGAAAGAATCCGCTGTGCTCTTCAAGAATGCGAGGATGTAGAGGACATGTATGTTCAATGTTGAAATAAATGAATCGTTTTAATGATATCTTACGTCCAGTCCTTACTAGCGAATTTTGTTTTTGCTCACTACCACATTACGCATGGCCGCCACAAAATAAAGAAAAATTCAGGTTCTCGTTTCCAATACCTCTCGGCCAAATTTGCTTTGTTTTGGTTTTGATCTCACCCAATCACAAAGCTCGAAAGCGATATCCAGAAATAGTCTGAATTTCAGCCGTCTCTTCCCTTTACCCCAAGGGAAGAGACGGCTGAAATTCGGACTAATCCAGAAATGGCTATGGCCCGAACTGTTGAAGTTTCAAGGCGTAGAGCACATCCACTGCGGTAACAGTCTTTCGTTTAGAATCGCAAAGCTTACTGTAAACACGCGCTCTGATTGGTCAATACGGCAACCGGAAGAGAGGGTATTTATAATGGTAATTGAACTGAGTGGAGTGCAATTTGGGCTGAAATCATACGCGTGATTTCAAAATCGAACGAGCGCGCAGCGCAAGTTCGATTTGAAATCACAAGTATGATTTCACACCAAAATTGCAAGACGTGAAGTTCAATTACCACTTTATTACATCCATTTTGAAATCGCCCAAATCAGACTTGGTCAATTCAAAATATTTTACTGATGCAGTACTGAGCCGGTTTTTAAATAAAAAGTGGAACCAGAAACGCTTTTACATCTTATTTTGTATGCAAAACAGAAAGACTGATGTCATGTGTCCAAAACTCAGTCAAGCGTAAAATAATGCGATTTAGAGCAAAAAGTGGTGCGATTCGTGAATAAATCGCACCAATTAGAGCCAATCAGATTACAGGGACCACCAGTGATTTCAAAATGGATGTAACAAAGCGTGGAATCGCACTAATGCATAAAGCGATATCGCTGACGTGAGTTGCGACCAAAATTATTGTTACGAACGTAAAAACGTAAATACAACTAGTGATATGAACAAAT